GGCAAAGTCACTGCTTCAGTAGACAATGTTATAATAAATGCTATGGTAACGAACACCCTAAAAACTGCCGACACCGCATATAATTTTGCGAAAACATTTAGTGATAGCGTAAAGAATATTATACCCAAATGTAACATTAGTATTCTGAATTCAGCAAGCTACCGCCATCCAGCTAAAATCTCTATTAGATTTCAAAAAGCCACGGCAGGATTGATTACCAAAATTATCCGTGCATTTACCACTAAAAAAGCTACTGGTTTTGATGAAATAAGAATTATTGATTTTAAAAATATAAATGATAAAATTTCACCCATTACAGCTAATCTTATAAATACATCTGTGCAAAATGGTACATATCCAGCAGAGCTTAAATCAGGTATAGTACGTCCAATCTATAAAAAAAGGTAATCATAAAGATTATGATAACTACCGTCCCAGTATATACTGCCTATAATTGATAAAATTGTCGAAAAGTTTCTCACTCGACAAATACTAAACTTCTATTCAGACAACAGTTTTATAACAGAAAAACAATTTGGTTTCCAACCTAATAAAAGCACTATACAACTATTAAGTAAATTTTCGGATTCCATTTACACACACCTTAATAATAAAAAACATGTCCTAGCTGTATTCATATATTACAGTAAAGCTTTTGATACCCTACGGCATAGTACGCTTATTGAAAAAAACTTAATGACTGTGAAGTAAGAGGTCCTCTCAACAAATGGTGTAAGAATTATATGCAAGACAGAACCCTAATGTCAAAGTTGGAGAGGAACTCAGCTCTATGGTGAGAGTTCAGAGGGCACAGCACAGGGCTCTGTTTTGGGGCCGGTGCACTACATCACATATGTTAAATTGTTTGCGAAAAATTGAGAGCAATTTTGGAAAAGTTTTCACTAATTAAACGGAAAATACAGTTTTCAACGAAAATCCTGCTGTACAAAGCATTAAGAGAATCTGTCATATCATACGGGCTGAGTAGTTATGAACGGACATACAAATCACACCTAGACCTAATTTATCAACTCCAGCTAAGAATTCTTAAAACTATCGTATCACCTCACATAAAAGACAAGTAAAGAAACAATTGTGATGGTCTATTTAGTTACTGTCAGATTATTCCCGTCCATGAGAAAGTTAAATTAACTTTACTTAACGAACAGTTTTTTTAATAAAGACATACAACACTCAATTGATCATAAAAACACACTCGCAGTGTGTCAAAAGATTTACTGAAAATACCACGATCTCAAAATCATTACGGAAGACAACGCTTATATTATACCCAAACTAATAAGTGAATTACCCTTTACACTTAAAAATTACATTACTACGCAAAATATCAAAAGAAAACTAAAACTACATTATTTAGACGAAAAAAAAAGCATCTTACTAAATAATTATATCTCATATATACTATTATGTACGTAATAAATGTACATATTATACACAAATAAATAAAAATACGTGTGGCACTCGGTGACTGCCGCGGTAAAGCATAGCATTATTGCCGCGGTATTGCATAGCATTTTTTATCAACTTATGCAATTATAATTATTTATTTATTTTATTTATGCAGTTAAGTCTTTGATATTAAATTAAGTTACACTTTTTGAGCGTGGTGACCGATAAGAAAACAATTTTTTTTTCTCTTATTGAATAAATGAGAAGTTAATATTGTTTAAAATATTTTTAATATCTTACAATACATGTAGGTTATTCAGGAATTTTTATCATTGAGTTAGCAACTAGTGTACACGCATACGTCTAGTCGCACGCCCACAAACACCGTACCGAAGTCTGCCGAACTGAAACGACGTTAGACGATGCACAGCTTTCAACGCCACACCTCCGTGCCCATCGGAGTGGGGAGCGTGAGGTTTTTTTTCGTTACGGAATTTCTGGATTCGGTCCCCGCGCTCAAGGCCCGCGATAGAAGCTATGCAATAGCTTAAAAATAAAAATAAATTATACAGAATGCCCGTATGAATATGTATATATTATTGTTATATATGTATTTATGTGCGTATACATGTGTATGTATATATATTTATACACAAATATCGATGATTTTCTATGTTATATAATACTTAATTATAAAACAGCGATGGCTTGCCAACCGTAATACTGTTATATTCTACCTCTTGTGAACACCTCTGTACGTTCATTGGCTAACCGGTTTTGTAACAATATTACAACCCGTGAATATAAGTACGTATGCATTGTGAGCGTGTAGATCTTCGCTACGATTTAAAGCATATTATATGTACCGTAATATATAATAGATAATGTAATAAATGTGTTGGGTTGAGCATAGAGTGCCGTCGATGAAGCATGGTGTACAGATAAACCTTCTTAGGTTTTTGCGACGCCGTGATAAAATAATTTAAGCTTTGTATTTGATTTATTTAAAATAATAAAAAAGGTAAATACATTTTATAAATTTAGTAGCAATATCTCGTAATTTTCATCAAACAAAGAATCAAACGATTTTAGCCGGACCATCGATGTTGCTTTTAAGGTTAAAAGCAGATTAGTTTTTGGAATCAATCGGTAAAGCCGTTTAAAAATTAATTAAAAATAAAACAGTTTTTCTAAATGTTTATTTTTGAGATTTCTTAAAATCTGCCGGTCCGAATTAGTTACACACATACGTACACAGAGACCCCATCAAAAAGTTGTCAGGGTGGCTTCCTGTGACCTAAAAACGTCAGGATTTGATGAAAAGGTTTTAAAAATTAACACTTTACAGACTCAACTGCATGTGCGTGAGCATTTTCTTTAATAAAAAGAACTGTAAACACCGATGACACGCTACCACCGTCGATCTCTCGAGGAACAACTTCGAATACCAAAAAATATGATGTTTAGAGCCCTCGCCGTAAATTAGCTCAAATCCGGCTAACCAGGCACATGAACTTGGACAAAGATGAAACATCATTATACCTTGGAAGACCAGTATGTGCTTTAAAAAGGATCATTGCAAAATTTTCCAAAGCTGAGGCAACGGTAACAGCGGCCAAGGCTTGATAAGCTACTTTTCATGTCAGATTGCGATGTATAAGATTGGGAGTTCAGTAATTAGTTGTAAGATATACATTTTGAATTTAATTTTTCTAATATTCAAAAATAGTACTCGATACCTCGTAGTATCGATACTTTTGAGTCGATACTTGGTATTGAGTAGGTATCGATACTTTTAACATTTTGCGAAACCCTACGCATGGAGGTTAGAGAACAGGAGAACGATCGCTGTAAATGGTGTCCCAGAAAAATGGACAAAACAAGTGAGGCGCTGCGATTGCTAAGTTGTCTCAATAAAAGCGGGCTGTTTTGTGCTAGTTTGAAATAATTATAATATCACTCAAAGAAAAAAAATAACGAAATTATTAATATGTATTGATAAATAAATTGTTTACGCCCGATTGTCTCGAGCGGGGTGAGATAACAGTTAGCGTGTCGCGAGTAGGCTTGATGCGGCGTACGGGCACAGCATGCAGTCAGTCGGTCCGACGGCCCGGGTCGATTATACGTTGAGAGCCTCTTTGTGTTCTTTTATATTTGTAAGTTTCCGTGATAAAGATGCCAAAATAATATAATTGTTTTGTAACCGTGTTAATTATTGTTTGTGACTGTCCTTCAATTGCGCGCGGCAGGTGTTGACTTGAGTGCCTAAGGCTACCGTTAATACGGTTAATTGTGCGCGCCATTTTGAATTTACTATTGAATATGTGGGTCAAGACTTGACCGGCTAACGTCCTAATTTAGTTGTCTGTTTTGAACGTGTTACGTGGTAGGAGACCTACTTGGAATTTTTAGTCATTAAAAGAACCTTTGTGCCGTTAATTGCATTGACGAGTTATTATTAGTTTTGTGCTACATGAACCTGGGACATTGAACTTTGACCAACCGTCCTTAAGTTGTATCGCGTGTCACTTGTTTAACGTCGATTAACGTTGATTTGGTTGAACTTGAATTTAATTAAATGTACAATAAATGGATAAACTAATATAGTGAAAATAGAAGCGGAGTTTTCCTTTGGTAAACCCCCTTTGATGGATCCCATATTTGGAGAGAGGCAATGCCTTGGGATCTGCTGTCCAGGATCAGCGGGGATGTCAGGTTACACATTACGCGAATCATTTCTTCAATTCAATTAGTTCATGAACCGCATCATCTGTTGATTTACCAGAACGAAAACCAAATTGATTTAGCGACAGTACGGAATTTTTATCAAGAAAATTTTTCAACCTATTATTCATCACGCGTTCTAGTATTTCAGACAATGAAGGTAATATTAATATTCTCCGCAGCGGATCACGCGTGGTGTTCCTCAAGGATCGATTTTGGGTCCCGTACTTTTCGCGTTATATACATCACACATTAGTAATTGTTTCCAATATTGTAAATATCACTTATTTGCAGATGACACACAGATTTATAAGTCTTTTAAGCCTAGTCATACTACAAAAGCTATTAATGAACTCAACGAGGATTTGGATAAAGTAGTAAAGTGGTCAGAAAGAAACTGTTTAGTGTGGAATCCATCAAAGACAAAGTTTTTAATTTGCGGAACGAAACAACAGATTCAAAAAAATAAATAAATTTGTCCCAACACTGTATATAAAAGGCACGGTATTAGAAAGAGTCGAAATAGCACGTAATTTAGGAATCATAATTAGCCCCGATCTCAGATTTCAAGATTATATCAATAACATTGTTAAGAACTATTTTTATAGGTGTAAAATCCTGTACAGAATGCGTGAACACTTAAGTGTAGAATTACGAAAAAGACTATCGGACACCCTAGTACTATCAAAATTTAATTATGCTGATACGGTTTATGGGCCTTGTTTACTGTCACGTACCGCACACCTTATTCAACGGGTCCAAAATGCTTGTGCGAGGTTTTGCTTCGATGTACCGCCAAGAGGTCACGTAAGCCCATTTCTTGACGACAATAATATCCTTAAAATGGCTGCCAGACGCAAACTTCACTTAGCTTGTGCACTTTTTGGCGTCATAAAGACAAAAAACCCAAAGTATCTTTTTAGTAAGTTAGACTGGTCTCGCGAGCATAGCAACTTGGTTTGATCAACTGCATCCACCAGTCTTGACTGTTTCGCTTGAGATGGGCCGCCTTCATTTCCAGGTACTGTATTTCGCCCTTCGGTACATTCAGCCTCGTACATTTTTTTTTGTCCATTTATTGATCCCGTCCATTCCACATGAATGACTGGCGCATGGACAAGTTTCAACAAGTTCGTCGCTGAGAATGTCCTGTACGACTTGACGACCATTGCCGGAATAAAGATACTTGCGTATACAAGCGAGACAGTTAATGCTTGTATTTTTGTAGGTTCCGTTTCGAATAATTCTCCCCAGTCTAGAGTTAAATCCCCACTGTCTATTATGACTGACGTATATAAGGTGCCAATGCCGTCTTCTGACTCCTTGATGGAAAGCGATGAGTTTATAAGGTCCGTTATAAATTGTTGACATTTCACTTTCATTACTTGGGATATACGTACCGACTTGATGTACTCTTCTTCCCAGGCTTTCATCGTAATCTCCAAGTCTCTCGCAACTGCCTCCTCCGACGGAGTATCTTCTTGTTCGTCCATCTCTCCATCTGACTCGGTAGCAGCCATCGTCTGCAACGCCCCCAATCCCTTCAGGTCCAGCACATAACTCTTTATCCCCTCCCTGAACTTGCTCCAGTCCCATATTCCCGTTTCGTCCCGTCCCTCCGGTGGTGGTGTCAGCGGTGATGATGTTCCTGGACTCTGCACTTGTTTCCGGGGTGCATATGTTTCTGGTACATTTTCTCTTGCACGTTTCATTTTTAAAATGCACAACAGGGTATATTTGCTTCGATTTTAATTCTTCTTCAATGTCCTGACTTGTTATGATGTGGTAGTAGTATAGTTGCATGTTCATGACTGATGGTTTGAGAGAATGTGTTGTGTCTTTTATACATCTCGGTACGTGCCTGTTCTGACCTCCAAACTTTCAAATTAATTCACGTAATTATGTCTGAGGAAGTTGTTTTATGAATATGATTGTAATGGTTTCCTGTCTGTATTTTAATTATCTTATCGTATGAATATTAATGTTTCCCTATGTGAATTGCATTAGTTGTATTTTATATAAAAGCCTTGTATCTAAATCCTTTTTTATAGTTGTTTGGTTGGGTTGTTGTGTCTATAATAGGCTCAGTATTCCGCAACATTCTTCTTCAGCCTTTCGAGGTTGTTATAAGTACGCAGCCTCCCATTGTTGGAATAATTTACCTCCTCCACTGCGTGACCCGTGACATTAGGCACGTTTAGAAAGCACTTAAAATATCTCCTAATAAACGAACAGAAGGGCATAGTTAATAAATAGGAGTATTGTTAAAGAGGTTAGACGTTAGCTACTGATATTCTGTTTACATATTATTTATTATGCTATTACATATTATTATTTATTACAAAAAGCCTACTAAATAAAAAATTCTTATATTGTAGCAGTTTTTTATTGCCTGAAAACACGGACAAAAGGACATTTTCTAAAAATAAATCCTAGCTAGATCGATTTATTGCCCTCGAAACTCCCTGGACACTTAATTTTATGAAAATCGTTGGAGCCGTTTCAGAGATCCCGATTATATATATACAAGAACTGCTCGTTTAAAGGTATATTAGATAATATTACATGATATTTTTATCAAGATGGAACATATTCATCATCACTAGCCGAAATCGATATTTCCTGGTCGGCATCGTCGCTATCACCCTCATCATCGTCTGTAGAATCCCCTGTATTTATTATAATATGGTTATCTATGACGGCATCGATATGTATGTCTCTGTCCCAATCAGCGTAAAACCACACTTTCCCAATTCGCGGCAGTAACACTATCACAAGCTTCTTGTAACAATGACAGCATTTTGTTTGCAGTAAACGGTGGGCTGGTATTTTTACGAGCTGCATAACCTAAAATAAAGGTTTGCGTGTTAATATAGCAACAGATAAAATGTTAAAATAGATAAAAATAATTTATAAAAAAGATTTGTTTAAATTCTTGCCTTTAAATTGCACCTAAATCAATTCTATGGCATTGTATTGACAATTGTAGGGTGGAAGGCGCATTACATGGTGCCCGGCTTCCTTAGCCATTTCGTCCAATACATATTTTGGTCTAGCTGGCTTATTTATAGCAACCAAATGCAGCAGCTCAACTTTTAACATGGACATGTCAGCAACAATATTATTGTCATTCAGCCATTTCACAATATCCGCTTTTTTGCTGCTAGAAGTTGGAGGCTTACTTATTTGTACTGAATGATACGGTGCATTATCCAAAATGATCGTCGATGGCTCATTCAAGTTGGTCAATAAAGTACAAAACCATTCCTTAAATTTAACAAAATTCATCTCTTGTGGTATTAAGTTTTCTTAGATTTAATTTAATATTGATTAAGATCCTGGAAAATAGCAATATTAGAACGATGTTTTAAAGTCGTTGATGTTAAAAATAAAAAAATATTTCTGTAACCCTGCTCTGCAGAAGAAATTAAAAAAATTATACAAGGGTTAATAATACAAATTCAGTGGGTTATGACGGAATCTCCACAAAAATTTTAAAGTCTTGTGCTGATTTGGTATCTGAAGTTCTTTCTTATATTATTAATATATCGTTTGAATATGGAATCTTTCCAAACAAACTTAAAATTTCTGTGATTAAGCCAATTTATAAAGCGGGCAGCAAAAAAGAAATTAATAATTATTCCAATATTAGCATTAAAGTATTTGAAAAAGCAATACATACTAGACTGAATAGTTTTCTAAATAAACATAAGATTTTACGAAAACAAAACGGTTTTCAAAAAGAAAAATCAACAACACTAAATAATTACACACTAACTCAACACATAACAGAAAACATTGATAAAGGTATGAAAGTTACTGGTACCTTTTTCGATATGAGTAAAGCATTCGATTTTGTAGACCACGAACTGTTACTAAAAATAATATGGAATTAGAGGACTTGCATTCCAATGGATACAATCTTATTTAAGTAAAAGAACACAATGCGTTCAAATAACTAGGATTAATCAATTTAATGAACTTGTAATATATAGCTCTAAATTACAACCCACTACAAAAGGTGTGCCACAAGGTACAATTCTTGGTCATTTACTTTTTATTTTATATACGAGGGTGGATTGAAAAGTACTCGGCCTAACCAAGAAAATAAACACATACTAAATCAGTTATATTTTTATTTTTCTACATAATCACCATCAAGTTCAATACACTTTTGCCACCTCCCCTTCAAAGCATTTAGACCGTTGAAAAAAAATGATTCTTCCTTAGAGTCAAAATATGCGTCTACAGCTGCTTTGACCTCGTCGTTTGTCGAAAATCTTTGACCTCCCAAGTGCTTTTTTAGGTTAGGGAACAGAAAGAAGTCTGATGGTGCCAGATCAGGTGAATACGGCGGATGCGGTAACAGTTCAAAGCCACAGTTGTGAATTTCAGCCATTGACTGTACTGACGTGTGAACACGGGCGTTATCTTGATGAAACAGGTCTTTTATTCTGAGCATTCCTCGACGTTTTTCTTTTATTTCCTCTCGTAAACGACGTAGTAAGGTGCAGTAGTAATCAGAGTTTATAGTCCGACCCCTTTCAAGATAATCATAATCACACCTTTCGAGTCCCAGAATACTGAAGCCATCACCTTATTTGCCGACAAAATCGACTTAGCCTTTTTAGGGGGTGGTGAACCAGGTCTTCTCCACTGTTTTGATTGTTGTTTTGTTTCCGGTGTACAGTAATGAACCCATGTTTCGTCCATAGTAACAAAACGATTCAAAAAATCATCTGCATCGGCTTCAAATAACTCCAAACAGTCGCGTGAAATAGTCAATCGCGTCCTTTTTTTGTTCAACTGAAAGCAGTCGCGGAACCCACCTCGCAGACACCTTGTGGAAACCCAACTCGTTGACAATGATGTTTTGAGTTCGTTCTTAAGAGATGCCTATAATCTCGGCTATCTCTCTAATTTTTAATCTGCGGTCTCCCATTATTAAATCAAGTACTTTTTTTAATATTTTCGTCAGTAGTTGACGTCGAAGGCCTTCCAGAGCGTGGTTCATCTTTCACACTCTCTCTACCACGCTTAATTTCTGCTATCCATTTTTTGACGGATGAATATGACAGAGCACAATCGCCTAATGTACTGACCATGATCATGGATGGCTTTTGATGATAGCCCCTTCTTATGGAGGTACTTAATGACGGCACGCTGCTCGATTTGCTCCATTCGCGGAAATTATGTCAGATTACTTTGTTAATAAATTTATAAAATCACAACTAATTATCGCACACGTTTCGAACTTCACACAATGAACTAGTCTGAACTGAACTAAATAATGTGGGTAGATTTGATTTTTAGAATTGAATGGATCTGTGTTAGGCCGAGTACTTTTCAATCCACCCTCGTATTAATGACCTTCCATTGGCAATCGATCAACATTGTACTCTATATGCCGACGATATATCAGTTATAATATCAGGTAAATAAAAGCAATCTGATTATGAACTTAAAGTTAACAATACTGTCACATGTACAATAAATTGGCTCGAAAGTAATAATTTATGTCCCAATCTACTCAAAACTAAATATATTATATTCTGCACTAACCGGGCAAATATCCCTAAAATAAAAGTCGTGAGTCATAATCAAGAAATTGAAAAGATTGCCGAAATAAAATTCCTCGGCCTTATTTTAGACCAGCATTGTAGTTGGAGAAGTCATATAAGCTTAATGTGTGATAAATTAGATAAATTCGTTTATGCACTTAAAAGACTAACCAATTTAACAAGTAAAGAAGCTGCTATAACAACTTATCATGGATATGTAGCGTCCGTGCTACGGTATGGCTTATTGATCTGGGGCAATTCAACGGTTTTTAACAGAGCAATCCTCATTCAAAAGAAATGTGTACGGGCGATTTGTGGATGTGGACCTTTTGATTCTTGTAAACCGCTTTCTAAACAGTTACAACCTATGACACTGTGTTGCATGTACGTGTATGAAATTGGAACGTTTGTAAAGAAATATCCACATTTATTTCAAAGATGTACCTATTGATAATTATACAGATAAAACATTTCCGCATAGAGATGTTACAAGACTAAATTTACAAAAGTGTTAAACTGTCTTTTATCAGAAGAGTTGTCCCAATATGTGTATAAGAGTATATAATAAAATCCCCAGTGATATACGAAAATTGCCATTTAACTTTTTTCAAAAAAACATTGAAGGCTTATTCAGAATAGTTTTTATTCCCATTATGAATTTTATTGTTATAGACCAAAGTGATATTTAATATAACGGAGTACCGACCTCCTTTGTGTTTTTAAAAAGTGTGAAGTCAGCTGCGCTGACGTCTCTAATGTTACCTTCATGGTGATCACTCATCTTCATCTTCAATTTTCTAATGAAAACACTACAAGTATACTGAAAGCCTCGTTTATTCGACCGACAGCGTAACGACGTACTTACAGAGGTGTACACTGTCCGACCGCCCGAGCAAGACTGCCCTAGCACGATTTGTGCGGCCGTATTTATAGCGCGGCGGACACGTGTACACCGGTTTAAGTTAGGTATTGAATTATGTGAATCACAAGATATTTACATTGTAATAATCAAACAGTGATTAACTAATGGCTTATGAACTATTTTTAACACAATCAAATTATTAAACAGGGTAATTAATGATTAATCCTTATTATAATCGACGAACTATTGTTGTTGCGCCGATAAATATAATCTTGACTTGACTTGATAACTGTTGACATGTACACCTAAACTTGACGACATTTTCTATTTTTTTTATTTTGGCATTAAGACTGGATCAAATTTTGTATTATTTTCTTGTTTATTGTTAACGTCTATGTATATGTGTGTTATTTATCTTGTGACATTTTATTCTTAGGTTTTCCACTAATTTGTAATTAATCATAGATATCCATAGAACATTTATATAGCACTAGACTGACAATCATAAAATTATATATTTGCATGCCACTGGCGAAATATGATTGTACCATACCAAACAATTAATCCTGTAACTACCATATTTCTTGCAAATAAATCATTATTATTGGGGGTATCAATATAGTTTTCTCATCTAGTTGGGTTCTATAAATATATAATTATAAATGGAAATGATGAAAAGATAAATATACATAAATACCAATAAAATTAAACTAACCTAACCTAACCTTTTTTTTACATGAGGAAATGCCTACGCATACCCCCCTCGCGGGGGCAAGGACGGGTTATATCGGACTCGCACCGACTAAAACCCCATGGTGTTCCACCTTCGTCGCATATTGGCAGGGCCACGGGAACGCTTTCGCACACATCCGCGGTCCTACCAGCGCCTGCCGCCCCATGGCAGCATCTCCTCGGGAGAGGAATATTCCTCCCCGTTCTCCTTCCCAGGTAAGGCGCACCAGAACACATGGCGCGCCTTTCTCCACGGCTTCCAACTACACCTGCGCAACGGACGCCCCCGTGTCCGATGCGCGAAGGCCATGGGGCCAGGAAAAACGAGTACTCAGAAGCACTAGCCTTCCTGACCTCAGCGGCGGATCTGGTCTATGGCTCCGCCGCCAACCAAGATTCGACTGCGGAGGGTAGGGAGAGTGACGCCTCGCAATACCGACAATCCTCTCCCCCCGCAGCCCCACCACCACCGCATCAACGGTGCGGCCCCGTTTGAGTCGCGGAGGATAGGGCGAGTGGCGCATTGCCATACCAACACTCCTCTTCCTCCGCATCTCCACCTCGGCTGCAGCGGTAGAGGGTGCGGACAGCCCTCTCGCTGCAGTCCACCTGCACACATCCGAAGTGGGCTCGCCAAGCCCACTCGGAGTGGCCACTTCAGGCCGGCCCTTCACCTCGGACCAGCCACGTGGGTTCCTCTTTGTTCACCGCGGGTGACCAAGCCACGGCTACTAAGCCCCCCCCCCTGCCATGACAAGGTGGGAACCCGTTCGGGGGGGGGGGGGGAACCTAACCTAACCTAACCTATTATTATTATTATTATAATAATAATAGGTTAGGTTATATATATTATAGGTCAATAATCCCTTCATGGAACCCGCATGACAAATAATTAAGGGTTCGCCTTTGCCACTAGGTACTTTTGTGGAGGAGTGAGGAGTGTCGTCTGTCCATATCCTGCCAACTGTATGATTAGCGTTTAGCCACGTCTCATTTAGAAATATAACATTATTCCAAACGGCAATGGACTTTGCTGATCTTAGAAAATTAAATCTGGCTAAAGCTATATCTCTACGTTCCATCAAAATCCGCCTTTTATCACATTTTTATAAGAAAAGCCAACATTTTTTAAAACCTTCCAAAAAGAAGTTCTACTGCCGTGAAACAGTCCAGATTCTCGTAAAGTATTTGACAATTCATCGAGAGTCGGCAATTCGTTCCTACTATAGTAGCCATAGATATGGTTTCTAATGGCGTCGTTATCAAAATTGTCGATATGTGTAACTATCGATCTTCTAAATTTTTTCTTAAGTGGCGATTTTAATTTGTTATCTTCCATTAAATCTTTACCATGTTTATCCTTACTTATTCGGGAAACAGTTTTTCGACTAATACCAAGAGTTGCACTTACTCGTTTAGTCACTTGTGGAAGTGGCAACAATGGACCACCATTCTGATACTTTCTTTCAAAGTAATCTTGTAGGCGTACTACAAACTCTCGCGCTTGAATGCGCAACACTGTTCTTATTGTGGTCTTAGTTTCAGCCATAGTGTTTATATAAACAAAAAAAAAACAAATCAAATAACAGTCAAAACTTAATAACAACGAAAGAATTATGAAACAGTTATAACTACAATAACAAGAACGAAATAAAAGCACAACATAAAATCAACTAAACTGAACACGCGTTTCGTATATACATAATACATATATATATATATATATATGGTATAATGATATAGATATGGTATATATAAAGAGGTTTTGTATGATATATGTTGTTGTGTGTGTGAATTAATTGTATAATGATTTAGATTGATTGTGTATTTTTAAATGATGATTTACGACCATGAACAAAAAATTATTATTATTTCATATTATGCGAAACGTGAAGAGTTACGTTCTAAGAAGTGTCAAACGGGACTGTAATTTTTATAGCGCACAACAGTCCGCTTTGATTGAGACAACTTAGCGATCGCAGTGCCTCACTTATTTGGCCAAAAACCAGAAAGTTTTTTTTGCGTTCACGGACTTACATAAGACCTATGACAGAGTGGACAGAATTGTCTTATGGCAATGAACTCATTTGGATTGAGCGCTGGTTTGATACAGGCATTAAGGTCTCTTTATAGGGACTCTAATGCTTGTATCTTGATTAACGGGGTCTACTGGTTTGGCATCCAAAAAGGTGTCAGACAGGGCTGTGTAGTTTCCCCGTGGCTGTTCAACCTATTTATGGACAGTTGTTTGCAAACATTGAAAGAAGAAGAATGTGGGTTAAGAATGGGCGAGTTAACCGTTAAATGCCTTTTGTACGCCGATGATCAAGTCATATTTGCGTCGTCGGCGGCTGAGTTGCAAATGATGGTTACTATAATGATCTGGGCATTAAGAGAAAGGGGAATGAGAGTAAATGCAAGTAAGACAAAAGTGATGGTTTTTGAAAGAGAAGAAAGCAAAACGTTATGTGAAATAAGAACGTTATGTGATAGAAGGGGAGTTGATTGAGGAAGTGGATAAGTTCGTGTATTTGGAATGTGTATTTAGCAGGGATAGTAGATATGATAAGGATATAGAACGACGAGTAAATGCAGGGAATAGAGTGAATGGGGCACTACACTCTATTATGAAAAATCAGAATGTGTCAAAAAAGGCACGTATAGTAATTCATAATGCTGTGTTAATCCCTACTTTAATGTAAGGTAGTGAATTTTGGGTGTGGCAGAAGAATCACGAAAGTAAAATAAATGCTGTAGAAATGCGGTCTTTAAGGAGTATGATAAACATCATTTGTTTACCACGACAGGGTGCATTTAAACGAATTATCTGTATTTTCCCGAATCCTACGGATTTTTTTTTGTTTTGAAGTAGTGTACATAAACCTGGCCCATTTTGAAACATCTGCTGTGTAATTTGACGCGTCGCAATTAAGTGAAAGCAGTATACACATCAGATGAGGCTGTATGGTATAGAACTTTGGCTACCTTAATTTGTCAATCATAACAAACACTAGGCTATGGAAAATTAAATGGCGGCTCTAGTCATAAAAGCTGTCGTCGTTTTGTGTAAATGTAAATTTATTCATAATTTGCTTTTACTTAAGTTGTTGTTCGATGTTTCGAATAGTATTTTTTACTGACATGTGATTGAATTTTGCTTTTTGTTGTTATCATTACTTCCCATAATTCTATAGGTAAATGCTTTAATGTCATACAATTTGGATTTTGTTTTAGTATTATTCCGGGGCGCGTCCATGAGTAATATTTTGTTTCTTTATGTCTATATATAAATGTACATTTTCTCTATAATGACACACATAGTCATTTTTCATAGTTGCACAGTAATATATCTATAAGAGTTAACAAGAGAACATGTAAATAGCTTGTCTGCGTCATGGTTTTGTAACCATCTTATTTTGTTGTGTGTGTTATTATACTTTATTGGGAACTGTTTTAGCAAATAAAAGTAGACAGAATGTCGAGTGATGAAGATAAACCACCTGCGCCTCCGGTACGGCTTACCAGTAACCGAGTTACAGATCGTGGCGATTCGGTGGCTTCTGTTGACATGAGGCCACTGCCAAAAGGTAAAACTTAATTTATTCATCAGCCTACAAATTCTTGACAATGAGTCAGTTAGCCTTATATTCCAGTTGTTATGAACAATAGAATTCTCATGAAAACATTGCAGTGTTGCATATTAATTTGTTTTAGGTGATACCATATGTTCCAATATAGATTCAGCATAGTTTATGTTGTTAATTTTCCTTTACAGAACCAGATGATGGCAGTGATAGGAAAAAGAAAACATTAAAAGCCAAAATTAAGGGTTCCAAAAGTACTGCACATAATGACAACAAACCTAATATTAGCTATCCAACAAATTTTGAACATACCGTTCATGTGGGTTTTGATGCAGTTACAGGAGAGTTTACAGTAAGTCAAATAGCAAATTTAAATATTATTTGTCTTTTTATAGTTTGCCTACCTCTGAATTATAAAAATATAAGATTTTGGCTAATTATTAAAGTTGTCTGTGGTTGCTTTAGTTTTTTTGATTTAAATTTAAAGTTATAAGGGCGGAAAATATATAAGCAATCATACCACATACATTCAAGTTGTATAATTAACAATTTACACCTTCACTTTTTGATGCACCTTATTAAAATTGAGGTGCGCAATAAAATTAAGTAGTAATCTAAAATTTGTTACATTACAAAAACTTTATTTAAAATCTATATATATACAGTTAGATATTGGATCATCCTTATGCTTCTGTGTTGTTTTTAAACCTAGCTTATTTTATGCCTTATATTTATATAATATTGCATTGGTGCTTTTGTCAAAGTAAATTATATTTAATTTTTAGTGTCTTAATATAAGGCAAAGTTCATTTTCTGGAGCATATATTTAATAAATATATAGAGAATTCGACATCAACAAAATCAAATAGCTTGTTTGGTTATTTAAACTATTCATAATAGAAGCATGTTAAGTATCCTAACTATCAACATAGAATTGGTAATTGTAGATGTATACCAATTTATGAAACATAGTATTTTGCAAGTGATACATGGTAGAGAATTACCTGTTAGTGAATTAATAAAATATACCTTGAAAATAATTGTATTCAGCCTTGGGAGAGTTATAGGAATTAAATGTTTTCTTTATTAAAACTACTGTAATGATATGTCATATAATTGAGTTCCATGTATTACCGCTTTTGTTTCAAGCTGCCTATGACAGTAAGTAATAGCTTATTATGTACTTATAGGTTTATGCATTGCATTGTCATATTATGTATATGCAAAATACATAATTTATATACTTTTGTTTTCTGCTCTCAAATATTTATATTATTTTATTTAGATACTAAGTAGTAGATTAGTGTTATAAGTTTATAAGTTTTTCCATACTATTGCTATAAATTCAATATGAAAACTGTAAATGTATTTTGAATGAAGTATTTTTTCATTATAGCTGTTGTAGGGTAGCCATTTATTTATGTGTGGGTATAATCAATTTAAATTCTGATTACTATTAATTTCACAATAAGTAATTTACATAAAAATTAGTTGTGACTTATATATTGACATATTTTTTTCATTGCAATCATGTCTAAAAGTTTTAATCAGAACTATTTGTAGCATGTATATTTGTGTTATTTATAGATTTCTAATTTAGGGATTTTAAATACAATAGTTTATTACAAATATTCAGTGCATTTAATATTGTATCCAAACAATTTTATTGTACAGGGAATGCCGGAAGCTTGGGCGCGGTTGCTTATGGCCTCGAACATTAGTAAACAGGAGCAGAAGAGTAATCCACAAGCTGTTCTTGATGTCCTCAAGTGGTATGATGCCTCTGCTACACAGCCACCCCCATCAAAATACATGACCTCTGCACAGATGCACACCACACATTCAGGTAATAACCTATTTGTTGAATAATTGGCAAGATTTTATGTATTATTTTTCCAATTATGATTGTACATTGAATGCCCATGATGTTTGTACCTATCACTGATTACTGAATTGGACAGTGGGACTGTTGCTGCCATCCCTGTACTTACTTCATTCCCCCAAGCAGGATAGGATTATAACATATATCTAGTCAGAATTCACATTTTGCTTTATGTCGCAATTAATTCTTGTTTTGAAAATGTTTTTATAGTAGGATTTTATCATGAAGACATTAAAACAATTTTTGAAAATACTTAATCCATGGATTTGAACTTTGGCCCACTGACCACAGCCGAATGCTTAGCCACTACACTCTAAGAGTTGTTGAAAAAGAAGTTGAAAAAGAATTTCCAATTAGCAATAAAATAAAATAGAATGCAATCAGTATATAAAAAACTACTTGTCACCTTTAAGGTCAATATAGCACGAAGTGAGTGTAAAACAACTAATTTAGTAACAATTTAATCTCAACTTAATTTACTTCTGAATATCTTCTTAATTAGTCTAGAGAAATAAAATTACAGTGGGAATTTTAAAGTACTGCATAGCTCAGTTGGGCAACCACAAGTTTTCAAGAGAAAAAAGAGCTGGTACAAGCTTTTTTTAAAGGTTTTGTTTGTCCAAAATATGTTAACTTTGTCAATTATAAACAGATTTCAATTCTTTTTTATATTGAATAAGTTATATTTCAGGCAAGAGCCCATAAAAATTTGAAAATAGGAGATGAAATTTTTAATGTAACCATAGACAACATTCAAATAGTACCTTGAGGTTATAATTTTCCCTAGTCCTCTCAGATGATTCAAAAATTTTACTTTTCAATTGTAAAAGCTGATGTTAAAGAACTTAAAAAATAAAAATGATTTCCACAGAACAGCTTCTAAGGCTGAGACTTTATTAATATTTTACACTTATTTATAAAATATTTATCTATAAACTAATCATTATTATTATTATTTATCTTTATTTTTTTTTAAAGAAGAGGGGGCAAACAAGCACACGGCTCACCTGATTGTAAGTGATTACCACTGCCCATGAGCAACTGCGACACCAGGAGAATTGCAGATGCCTTTACTTTTTTTATAATAATAATAATATTCTTTATTTGCATAAAACATGGTAATTATACAGATGTTTTGTTGACCAACTTCAGATATGTTGTAACGGGTAGGATTTTAGTCCTATAATCCTACATATGGTGTAGACCTCTGAACAGAACAGTAGAATGTGTTTCACTGTCTCTTCTTTCATGCATGCCATGCACAGGGAACTGTTACCTGTGGCTCGCTTTATAATCATTATTTCTTCCATAATTTAATGTTGTAATATAAGACTGTCATTAATTTTTCAAATATAATATGCAGATCTTATCTTTCGCCACCGCGCACGTGGTAAATCGGTACTTAAAATCGTGATTTATATTTCCGATGATTTCAGCTGGGATTGTCTCTGATTGCACATAGTATAAAATTGAACTCAACTGCTCATTTGCATATTCCTATGGACTCTATCTATACATATAAATAATATAAAAGTGTCACGGGGGTGAGAAACCGCCAACTCCCTGACTCCGGGCAGCTACTGAGAATTTCTTGACGGAAAAATTCAATAATTAATTTTTTGGCCTGACCTAGGATTCGAACCCAGGACCTCATGATCAGCAGTCGCACTACTACAACCACTAGACCAACGAGGCAGTCCTGTGCTTGTGCATACTCTTGGGCACTATAATCTTGTACTGCGCCTGCGGCTAGCCTCCATTGAGGCAGGCCGCCGTGGCCGAAATTCGGTCTGGAGGACATTATTATATAAGTCGTCTGTCTGTAACATTGAAATAACTGCCTTTTATTGAGCTAAGGTTATTTGCATGTTATTAGAACATGAATAACCATTTTCTGTCTGTTAGTCTGCCTGTCCAGGCCAGTTTTGGAAATGGCTTAACAGATTGTAATGAAACTAAGCTATCTAATCTCATCTAAGCTATATTTTGTCTAAAAATTTTTTAATATTTACATATTACCATACAATTAATGGTAATCTAAATAAAGCCACATTAATAGCACTAGACGAAGCCATGGCATGTCGGTAGTATAAAATATACCTACTCCATTCATATGTTTCACAAGGTATTGCCATGCCTGCCAACTGCAATACGAACTGAAGACATTTCTTCTTTAGTAGTTTTATTTTTTACATTTATTACTTAGGTTCATCAGTATCTCGAGTATCATCTAGCAGCCCTTCGTCCTCCACGCCTACAGATACTGAACATCCAGAACCTCCACCACCACCGCCATCAAGGCCTGATCGAACCAAGAGCATTGTAAGTGACCTTAGAAATTGTTTAAAACCAATGTTTCACATAATTATTTTTTATATTATACAGAGTTATTTTTCCAAGACTAGCAATTTTAAACTTAAGTTCAAATATATAAATAATGATATACCTTTATTGCAGTTTTTGAAAATATGAGTAAATAAGGTTTCTACTTTTAATAGAAATTATCCTAAATTGAATGTGATTTATCGGCAGCAACATTCTTGTCTACCGATTGACCCTTACGAATGTGTGCGTGCGCAGTAAAATCAATTAAAATTTTGCATCACCACGCATTTAGAATTTAAAAGATAAAAAGACAGAATGTTTAAGGTTTTTTTAAATTAATTTTTCTACAACATTTGTCTATATAACATATTCAATAAAACTGACTAATAAATAAAATTATTTAGGTAAAATAAAATCCATAAAATTAGTCTTATTCATACAATAATGGTTACAAATTTTTAGTTGATTATGAAAATATTATTAATAGATAAATTATAGGCCATTAAGAAATAAGTCATGAAATTTATTACAGTACACAAAACCAATAGAGGAGGAAGAGGCACCTCCGCCTAGGCCAGTTCCTGCTCCAGCCTCACCGCCACATGTACCACATCCTGCAATTACTACACACTCGGTAAATATAGATTTCAATTACTACTTATAAAAGAGCTGGATAAGAAATTCAAAAAGTTTAAATCAACCGCTAGTCTTCTATTTTATAATAATCTATCTTACCATGTACTTTGTGAATGATAAAATTAATGCATATTGTAGATATACAGAGTTGATGCCCCTAATACAGTCCCAGCTCCTAAGACATGAGAAACTTCCTCTAAAATTGCGGTCGCACAATTGTTGTAGCTTTCTATTCTTGACTATGCTGACATCTTATTTTATATGATATTTTAATTAACCCAAAAACCAACTTAACAAGCTTGAGCGGCATCAAATTTGTAAATCTGTTTCATATTTGGTCTACGCAAATATGATGAGTATAGATTTGTATAGTTTACGACGGACTATTTTCCGCAACTTCACATCTACAACTGAAATTTCCCTGAAGAAGTTTAACAGTTCTTTGATTTTTTGATGTAATCAACTTTGGGGAGTAATTCTCGCTTGCCGAGATGTTTAGTCCTGTATGCAGCGACCTCCGGACATGCCAGCAAAACATGTGGGCCGCCGTTTCTTCCTCCCCCATACATGCCCTGCGCAGTGGACTATCTGTAACAACTATAGTAATAAATATTTGTTAAAAGAGCCATGTTCTGTTACTAGTTGCTATCGTGATCTGTGGCTTGTTCAATCTCAATAAGACCTTGGTTTTTTTCTGGCAGGGCCTCCCTAGCTTGCCTACAGTCTACTAGATTTTTCCAAAGCTGAGCATGTTGATTAGTAACGTTTTTACCATACCAGTGAACAAATGCTACCACAAGGGATTAGTATAATCGATTCCAGCCTTACAACTGCTGCGTCGTTGCCACTTGATCCATTGCAGTCACATTGTTATGTTTTCATAACTCATTTAGTCATGGATGGCATTCATATATTAGTCCCGAGTTCACTACATAGCAACTCAGAGGTCAGTATTCTGATGGAGAAGTCTTTTACTTTCCTGACATCTATTGCTATGACTGCTTGAATGATTCTGAAAGACTGTATTGTGGGTACCCACCGGTGTACATATATGGATGTTGAGGTCTTCCGAGGATGTTCTAGATCCTGCCCTGCACCTTCATTTTTAGAACCCTCAGTGAAAATTCTAAGCTCTTTTAGGGTTTAATCCCTCTGTCTGGTTAGTTTAATTTAATTGAATCTTATAATTTTTATCAAACACAAATTGTATGTGGATCTCATCGTACTTGGCTTATAAGAAAGGAATTTGGGTGTAAATTCTATTGATTATACCTGTATGAGGGACTCTACTATTACTCCAAAGACTTAGGGTCTTAAGTATAATGGCAGCTAAAGTCGCTTCTTGTTGTAAGTGAAGGTGAATCAGGGTAAGCTCCAGCATAGCCTCTAAAGCTACCGTTAGTGTGGTCATTTTGTAACCTGTGGCAGCTATACGTGCCCGTCTCTGATAACACTGAAGCTTCTTTTTAGTCTGGTTTTATTTGTTTTGGTTCACCATAACAGAGCACGTATGTGATCATGGGCCGAATTACAGTTTTGTCCAGTCACAGTATAATTTTTGACGTCAGACATCATAGTTTGCCATCATCATGATTTTGCATATTTTTTTATAGTATAAGGGTGACAAACGAGCACACAGTCCACCTAATGTTAAGTGGATGCTGTGGCCCATAGACATCTATATTTATCTTCAATAAAAATCAAAATGCAGATGCGTTGCTAGCCCTGAGGATTGGGATGGAATTTTTTTGTGTTTGCTTTTTGTAATGAGGTGAATGCCTTGTTTCCAGTAAAAAGGGTCTCCGGTTCTCTACACTCACCATACGAAACACAGCACCATTAAGCTGCTATTTTACGCTGGTATTCTGTGAGAGCGTGGTCATACTCCGGTCGAGCCAACCCATTAGTGCTCAACCACAATATAGCTGCAGCATGGCTCTACCACGTAAAAACGTTACATTGCCAGAAAGTTATACTAGCGTGGTTGATTTTGTTTTATGTGTTTATCCCAGTTGAGTTTACTGTCCAAGGTAAGACCTTAATATTTATCCTCGAAGAATAGCTTGAGTTTCGTGCTGAAAATACTTGTGAGGTGAACAGATTATTCAACATTCGTTTTAGTGTTGCCATAATTGAAACAATAAACAACTATGTATACACAGATATGCAGTAGAGTTGAAGTGAGCGGTTCACCGTTGCCGCTCGATCGCAACAAGAACCCGACGGCTGCAGTGGCCGCGCCGCAGACACCGCCCGCGCACGCGCCGCACCCGCCGCACGTGCCGCCCGCCAACGGCGCGCCCACCAACATGGACACCGGGTAACTACACGCACCTAAAAAATACCACCGTTTAACCGACTCTGAAAGCCCATGCACATGCACTGTACAAGTTACTTGCCCTGTTGCATATAATAAAGTTAAAGCGATAAAGACCCATTGATACCGTTCAGGTTTCTTCCCTGTTGCACACAATAAAGTTAAAGCAAAAAAGTCTCATTCGCACCGTACAAGTTTTTTCCCTGTTGCATGCAATATAGTTAAAGCAATAAAGGCCCATTCGCACCGTACAAGTTTCTTGCCCTGTTGCATGCAATATAGTTAAAGCAATGAAGGCCCATTCGCACCGTACAAGTTTCTTGCCCTGTTGCATGCAATATAGTTAAAGCAATAAAAGCCCATTCGCACCGTACAAGTTTCTTGCCCTGTTGCATGCAATATAGTTAAAGCAATAAAGGCTCATTTGCACCCAACAAGTTTCTTGCCCTGTTGCATGCAATATATTTAAAGCAATAAAGGTCCATTCGCACCGTACAAGTTTCTTGCCCTGTTGCATGCAATATAGTTAAAGCAATAAAGGCCCATTCCCATTGTACAAGTTTCTTGCCCTGTTGCATGCAATATCGTTAAAGCAATAAAGGCCCATTCCCATCGTACAAGTTTCTTGCCCTGTTGCATGCAATATAGTTAAAGCAATAAAGGCCCATTTGCACCGATACAAGTTTCTTGCCCTGTTGCATGCAATATAGTTAAAGCAATAAAGGCTCATTTGCACCGTACAAGTTTCTTGCCCTGTTGCATGCAATATATTTAAAGCAATAAAGGTCCATTCGCACCGTACAAGTTTCTTGCCCTGTTGCATGCAATATAGTTAAAGCAATAAAGGCCCATTCCCATTGTACAAGTTTCTTGCCCTGTTGCATGCAATATCGTTAAAGCAATAAAGGCCCATTCCCATCGTACAAGTTTCTTGCCCTGTTGCATGCAATATAGTTAAAGCAATAAAGGCCCATTTGCACCGTACAAGTTTCTTGCCCTGTTGCATGCAATATAGTTAAAGCAATAAAGGCCCATTCGCATCGTACAAGTTTCTTGCCCTATTGCATGCAATAATATAATTTAAGCAATAAATTCCCATTCACACCATACAAGTTTCTTACCTGTGCATGCAATAAAGTTAAAGCTATAATTAACATGCAACATCTACATAATGTGCTAACTCCTAGGAAGTTTGTAATTCTACTAGGCATAATATCGTACATAATTTTTTTATGTATTTAGAAAAAAATATTGATTGATATCATTTATTTTTCGCGCCATGTTTTGTCTTCCTATGCCTATAAAAAATTTGAAAAATCCAATAATAGGATTTTTCAAAAATTAGTTGATAATATGTACATTTTATAGTGACAAGAATCATTCAGTGGTCACAAAAGAACCGAAATCTCTAAATACAGTAAAATTTAATGAAATATTTTTTTTATAGGATAGGGTGACAAACGAGCAGACAGTCCACCTGGGGTCTCCGGTTCTCTACACTCACCATACGAAACACAGCAGCATAAAGCTACCATTTGGCGCTGGTATTCTGTGAGAGCGTGGTCCTTCCCCGGTCGAGCCGACCCATTCATGCTACAACTACACTACTAATATAACTGCAGCATGGCTCTAGTAATTTGTGTAATAAAATATTTTTTTTATAGGATTGGGTGACAAACGAGCACACAGTCGACCTGATGGTAAGTAGATACTGTGGGCACATAAACATCTACATCTATCCTCAATTAAGAATCAAAATGCAGATTCGTTGTCACCCCTGAGAACTAAGATGGAATGCCTCAATTCCAGTAAAAAGAGTCTCAGGTTCTCTACCCTCACCTGCCCCCGGTTGAGTCGAGCCATTAATGCTACATCTATAATATAGTGGCATATTTAGGTTTTATTTAAAATATGTTATTTTAGGTAGAAAACTTTATTACCAATGGATAGCTATCATTAAAAATTTGTCACTGTACGGTAACAGAAATATGAAATGACAATAGCAAATTCTAGTAAGTTCTTATGGCTTTCCACAGATGGCGGTATTACTATTATCATCTTGTATTTGTATTTATGTGAGATATATAAAATACCCAGGTCGGAAGCGGAAAATAAAAGAGCTGGGCTTGCCATATATCAGGACCCTAGGCCACGACACTAAATGCAAGTGTTTGCGAACGCAAATTTTTCCATAAATTCAACATTCTTCACAATCACAAGTAGTTTTGTTATTTTGATAGCAATTTAGAAAGCAAACGACGCAATTGAAATTTGTTATAAATAATAATTAATGAGTATTCTCAATTTTATGTCTTACAGAAGAGCAACAGGGCAACAGCAGAGGAAAAAGAAGATGACTGATGAAGAAATTTTAGAAAAATTAAGAACAATTGTCAGCGTTGGTGATCCTAACAGAAAGTATACAAAAATGGAAAAAATTGGCCAAGGGTAAATAAAGACATTATTAAAAAAATAATCAATAAAATTGTAAAATAATGCTAATAAAATGTGTAACAAATGTTGCAGGGCATCAGGTACTGTATTCACAGCTATAGAAACATCAACGGGGATGGAAGTGGCTATTAAACAAATGAACCTTAGCCAACAACCGAAAAAAGAACTTATAATCAACGAAATTTTAGTAATGCGGGAGAATAAGCATAATAATGTAGTCAACTATTTAGATAGTTATCTTGTTAGTGAGGTAAGATTTGTCACTCATTGAAATAGCCTAATATTAATTTTTTTTTCCTTTTCCTTTATAGCAGCCTAATGCTGGCCATAGGCCTCTCCTATCGTAGGAAATTAGGATTTGCGATCATCACCATTTTTTATTAAATAACAGGTTGGGCAAAAAGTTTCTTCGTATTTTGATTGTATAAAATTGAAGAAAAATCCCTTTAGTTGTACTGTTTGAATCTGACTGGTTTTAATATTAATATATATATATATAGGACATTACAAAAAAAGTTAAAATAATTTTCCACCATTTGTCAATTGTTTATATGTCCGCCAAAATGTGTGAATCTAACAAAGAAATTCGATACATTATGAAGTTTTATTACAAGAAAGGAAAAAATGCAACCCAAGTGGTGAAAATAATTTTTGACGTTTATGGACGTAATGCAGTGTTAGTAAGAGTATCACAAAGTTGGTTCAAGCATTTTTAGTCTGGAAATTTTGATATGAAAGATGCAGCTCGTTCTGGTCGCCCTCATTATGATCAAGTCGATGCAGTTTTGAAAAATTGGAGGAAGATCGACATAGTCGTTACGACATAGCCGAGAAATTGAGGATTAAAGACAACCAGTTTTGACTCATTTGAAAAAGTCTAGCTATACAAAAAAGCTCAATATTTGGGTTTCACATGAGCTCACTGGAAGAAACCTAGTGAACCGTGTACTTATTTGCGATTCTCTATTGATAATGAAACTGAACCATTTTTGAAAAGATTAGTCACTGGTGATGAAAAGTGGATCACCTACGTATGACAAGAACGAGCGTAAAAGATCATGGTCAAAGGGAAGTCAAGCCCCACACACTGTAGTGAAAATCAGATTAACACTGAACAAGGTGAAGCTGTGTGTATGGTAGGATTAGAAGGGTATAGTTTAGTATGAACTTTACCGCCGGGCAAAACCATCGATTCGGATCTTTACTATCAACAACTAATGAGACTCAAGCGAGAAATTGAGAAAAAACACCCGGAATTGATCATCAAAAAAGGAGTGGTCTTTCATCATGATAACATATATCTGGCTTCTCAACAAAAATTTTGAGAACTTGGTTGGGAAGTGTTAATGCATGCACCATGTAGTCCTGAACATACATCCTCAGATTTTCACCTGTTTATGTGTATTCAGAATTCTTTGGGTAGTGTTTTAGGTTAAGGTTAATCAGGAGGGGACTGTCAAAACAACTTGTTTCATTATTTGGGTCAAAAATCCCAAGATTTCTACAGAACCGGGAATATGCTCTACCTACAGGATGGCAACAAGTTATCAAACAAAATGGCATATATATATTATTATTAAATGTAATTAAACTTTGAAAAAGACTTGAATTTGTATATAAAATACGAAGAAAATATTTCCCCGATCTTTATGATTATTATAATTTTGTATTTAAATTGTTCAATGTATCTATAGTGAAATTTTTGTTTACACATGAAATTATGTCTTACTGCCAGGTACAGGTCTGCTCTCATTTCGAAGGTTTTAGAGCAGGAAAGAGTTATGTACCACCCCAGTGCGTAAACAATTTCTGAGATTTAACTATAATAGCGATTCTTTGTAATTATTTTAATAGGATTATTTAAAATAATTACAATGTGGAGAGGGTAAAGTTAAAAAAAACGACTATAGGCTGTCAACGTCGTGCAGTCGGTTATAGGGGTTGGCAAGGACGAGGTAAAACGGTCTCAAAGGGGAAGTGAGCGGTATGCGGGAGGGCGAGCGAGCACGCCGCGTGCTCCGGAGCGCCAGTCGCCGGTGTGCGCCGGTGGTTGCTTGCAACGGTTATTTGTGTACTTGGCGCACACGAGATTACGATCCAAAGATGAGCAAACCAATTGGACTACAATCAAAAGAAATTGTGTATAACGTTACATGTATTACGTATTTGCGCAGTGCACGGGCTGCAAGAACCTGCGGGGATGATACCTAAGTATATTACAAGCTTCCTCATGAATCACTCCCGTCTATTGAAGAAAACCGCATGAAAATCCGTTAAGTAGTTTTTGTATCATACAGACAGACGCGGCGGGTGACTTTTTTATAATATAAAGTGATTTAATATTATATCGAATTAATCACTACATTACACAATACTTCGTTATAAATCTGAATATATCCATATTAATCTCAAGATAACTCGATCCCAAATCCTTACGTGGCCGTGGGCGTGGCCTCTTGCACAAGCTGCGTGCTACCTCGTCCCCGTCCACCCTGTACCCCGCACGACGTTGACGGCCTATACTAACTATATCTCATAAAGTATATGGAATCAGTTTGCACATCACAGGTTTTCCTATTGCACACTCTCTCGAAATAACACTAGTTATTAACTACGTAAATAAACAAATTTATATTAAAACTAGATCAGAACACCATATGTGAATTAGCTCTGATCTAACATCATAGAAATAATTGTTATTAATGTTGTGAAGGTCATAATATTACGAAACTTACACAAATAATTTTATTATTATATCCCTACCATTGAAGCTTTACTTAGAATCAGTTTTGGTTAATTGAATTTTGGTTATTAGAAACATTATAATAATGACTAAATGCAATAGATTACAAAACAATTTAATCGTGTAGAAATTTTTGTTCTTAAAAGCTTATTTATTACAATGTTTATATTAAGTTAGGCATGTAAAATTTAGAGATTAATTTTAAACTAAATTCCCGATGAGCTGGAAACTTGAAATTTTGAATATAGCTCAAACTTGGATGACAATGCAAGAATATGATTTTAAAAAAACGTGGTAATTTTTTTTAAATTTCACTTTGTCATATTTCATTTTAATAGGAATTATGGGTAGTGATGGAGTATCTAGCTGGTGGCTCGTTGACCGATGTAGTAACGGAAACATGTATGGATGAGGGTCAAATAGCGGCCGTTTGCCGCGAGGTATTGCAAGCATTACATTTTTTGCATACCAATCACGTCATACATCGAGATATCAAGTCTGACAATATATTACTTGGCTTGGATGGTCAAGTTAAACTGAGTAAGTATTGTTTTATAATTACTTTAATGAACTAAGTTTTCCTAGGATTATTTTTATTTGTAATATGATGGGGTAAGAACATATTTTATCAAAATACTAGATTATTTATTAGTAACATACATTTGAACCTTAAATTAAAGTAGGTAATTAAATTATAAATCCATCAAGTCAAATCGAACTCGTTAGTAAAAAATTTACATGTCGCTTTTAGAACTTTCAGTGTCCGGTTTCCAGGCACAATAGTAAGACAATAGTAGTGACCTCTATCTAGTGCACGGGACAGCGAAAGAGTTAAATCATTTAATGACATAACTATTCTATTATACTTGGTACTGTCTTAAAATTTAATGGTATATTAAATTAGATAGTGTGATGAAGAATAGTTGAAAGAGATTTATCTTTTGTTTTAGCTGACTTTGGGTTTTGTGCGCAAATATCACCCGAGCAAAACAAACGGACGACTATGGTAGGAACACCCTACTGGATGGCTCCTGAAGTTGTTACAAGGAAGCAGTATGGTCCCAAGGTACAGTTTAGTAATCTAATGAGAACATAGTAGCCTTATTTACATGATAAAATAATGGCTTAATTACGTAATACAGATTCAATATTGATGTTGCATTAAGAAAAAATTATTTTTAATAATAATGTACAATAACTTAATACAACTTTATGACGACAATGAATTTGAAACATTAGATTACAGTCAATCTTTCCTCAATATATTAGAAGTATCTGTTTATAACCTGCTTAATATTGTTTTGCGACAGGTGGACGTGTGGTCGTTGGGTATAATGGCAATCGAAATGATTGAGGGCGAACCTCCGTACCTGAACGAAAACCCACTACGCGCTCTCTACCTCATAGCGACAAACGGAAAACCTGATATTAAGGACAAAGATAAACTTAGTACTGTCTTCCAAGATTTTCTAGACCAATGTCTCGAAGTAGATGTCGACCGGCGCGCAACGGCGTTAGACTTATTAAAGGTATCTCAAATCATTTTTTCTGCATTTTAGATTTTTTATGTAATAACGTTTTGAGACTACGCGTGTGAGTGGCGTCCTTTATTGAAGTAAAAACTTCATTAGAAAGAGACTAACATCTATAGGATTAAGCCTGCAAGAGAATGTGATAGAATTCAGTATATATAGTTTCCTAATCTCTGACTCCTCTTTGTGAGATGCATTAAATATTTATAATATTTTTTTTTAATTTAAAATAGAAAAATAACAAATATATTAAATAAATTAAATTATAAACAGAGTATATTTTATAAATATATCATATCCAATCCACAATTAGTAATGTTAAGTCATCTTTTATACGTGGTAGAGCCATGCTGCAGTTATATTAGTAGTATAGTTGTAGCACGAATGGGTCGGCTCGACCGGGGAAGGACCACGCTCTCACAGAATACCAGTGTGAAATAGTACTTGGTGCTGCTGTATTTCGTATGGTGAGTGTAGAGAACCGGAAACCCTTTTTACTGGAAACGAAGCATTCCATCTCAGTCCTCACGGGTGACAATGCATCTGCATTTTGATTTTTAATGGAGGATAGATGTAGATGTCTATGGGCCGCAGCAACCACTTACCATCAGGTGGACTGTGTGCTCGTTTGTCACTCTATTCTAAAAAAAAAATACGTCTATTTTATGTACCACCTGAGAGTCAATCAATTTTTATTGAATAAGACTACTACCGCGTGTGAACTGCTAATATGATTTTTTAAAGTTTGGAATAGTCACTTTTGCAACTATTTGTCACAAAATAGGAATTATGTGTACAGTAAGGGTAGGTAAACCTTGCCATATTATCTACACCGATTTTTTGTTATGTAATCTAGATAAGATAGTCGCCTTTCTACTACGGATGAATACAAATTTTGTTTATGATTACGGAAACGTGCAATTCGCCATCTTATTAAGTTACCGCCTAGTCTAGGAACATGAGACGATAAGCGAAAAATTAACAAATGTAGTACATTAATTATACCGCCTGTTTCATACCATTTGTATTCATAAATGTATTTATAATAATAAAAATTTTGAAGCAACAGTAGCCTAATGGCAGAGCGTGGATCGCGAACTAAAAAGGTCGTGGGTTCGAATCCGCCATTTGACTACTGTCGTGAACCACTCCTAACATAAGCGTTTCAAGCTTACCAGGAGTGGTTAAAAGGAATATTAGTAATGTTAACTAATAAGATTAGTAATATTTAAAAAAAATATAGCCTAAGTAAGATAAAATAATAAACTATGCTGGACTTTTTTTAGAGCTTTTTGCTGGTCTACTCTGGTTTGCTGTGCACTGAATAGCTTAAATTTTTTTATAGAATAAGGCACAGAAAAGTACATAGTTCACTTGAAGTTACAGCCTATATACGTCCCACTGCTGGGCACAGGCCTCCCCCTCATTTCTGAGAGGGTTTTTTAGGGCAAGGAAGTGTCGGCGAATTGGCGAACTAACAGTAAACAGTTCACTTGATGGAAAGTAAATGCTGTGTTCACAGGCATCTATAGATCTTTGATTAAGAATCAAAATACAGATGCGTTGTCAAACATGGGGCCTAAGATGGAATGCCTCATTTCCAGCAAACAGGGTCATCGGTGCTCTACATTCACCATACTCTAAACACAGTAACATTGAGTTGGTATTTTACGCTGGTATTCTGTGAGACTGGCCCTTGCTCGATTGAGCAGACTCATTTTAGTTATTTCCGATTTAGTTTCTGTTGGGTCTGTAATTATTTACCAATATGTTTATATGTAATGACCGTGTGTGTAGTGATGGTGCGAGCATATTCACTACCTCATATTGTCTTGTGGGTGTTGTTAGAGGCGATAGAGGGAAACCAGAATAGAAAATAAAACCTGGTAAGCATGGCAACTACGGGAAATATTCCTCTTATAAAGAAAAGTACCTGGATGACCAAGCTTTTCTCGGTATTTTTTTTTTTTGGAAATTATATTTAGATACAAATTACATACTGATGAAACATGAATAATATTTTTTGCTCCTATTGACATAATAGAAACATAATAGAACTGGTTATTTGATTAAAAATCATGAGTGCAATTAGTTTAATTTAAATTTTCGAATTTTTAAAAAAAATAATAAAAAAGGGCTCGGAATAATAGATTTTCTCACAAAAGAAGGGAACTTGAAAAAAAAAAGGAAATAAAGTCGGACTGAAGACAGGACTCGAACCAGGACACCACGATTTCGCGACCGCCCGATATCCCACTTGAGCTATTACGATCATTAATACACTGTCAAAATTTACCTTCTTATATTGTAGCAGTTGTTCATTGCCTGAAAACACGGACAAAATGACATTTTCTAAATATGAATCCTAGCTAGATCGATTTATCGTCCCCGAAACCCCCTGGACACTAAATTTTATGAACATCGTTGGAGCCGTTTCCGAGATTACAATTATATATATGATATGATATGATATAGGATGATGAGGAGGCTTAAGTCCGGCAGGTGACTAAAAGGCTGTAATGAATGATTTTTTTTTGCTATAAACGGGCCATGAAGGTTGAGAAACTTTGATCTAAATGATCTACATAATTATTTTCAAGTCTTTTTCTGTGTAATTTTCTTTCTCTGTACTAAAACAGTTATAGAAAAGTCCTTTCACTTTGCTTTAAAACTCTTAAATTGTAGAGTTCAGGGAAAACTGACGCCCAAAAAAAAATTACTTAACAATCATGTTGAGGTTCAACTGTACAATGAGTCATTTGATGGTAAAATGTAGATGGTGAGAGACTATCTAAAGTGTGCTGCTTTTGACACACACCGAAATTGAAGCTTGTAGAACACTGACTCTAACAACTGTGCGCCTATTTTCACTAATTCTGAGGTAGCTTAAAGAATGAAAAGTTACATATTGGTCTTCAAAACATGTTTTTCGAAAAAGTCCAATGCGACCAGTTAAAGTAATACATTGGTGTAGGTGTACATTTTGGTAAAGAATTCAAACCGAATTCGGAAAAATAGTGAATCCAAGTGCTCGGGCTAAGTTTGGCAGTAAAAAGACAAGTGCAAGTATGTGTATGGAAGTGAATGAAGCCAGAGAGGTTTTTTTTAAATACGAGAGGGGGCAAACGAGTATACGGCTCACCTGATGGTAAGTGATTGCCGCCGCCCATGAACAACTGCAACACCAGGGGAATTGCAGATGTGTCGCCGGCCTTTTAGAAAGGAGTAAGCTCTTTTCTTGAATGTCCCTAAGTCGTATCGTTCCGGCAAAATCGCCGGTAGTAAATTATTCCACAGAGGGTGTACACGGAAGAAAACTCTAAGAACCCCTAAGCATCCGGATGGTGTGGATGACATTGGGAGTTTTGCCGCGATGTGCGTTCATGAAATTTAGCGGCAGGGATTAATCCGAACAATTCCTCAGAGCACTCCCCGTGGTAGATGTGAAAGAAAATGCAAAGAGGCAACATTCGCGGCGCCAGTAAATCGAGCCGATCGGAAAGCTCTCGGTCGTCGACGATTCGAGCCGCTCTGCGCTGGATGCGGTCAAATGGAAGGAGCTGTCACTGGGAGCCCCAGCCCAGATATGGAAACAGTATTCCATGTGAGCCCGAACCTGCACCTTTTAAAGTTGCAGGTGGTGAGCCGTTTGAATCGTCGGCGACCAAGCTCTTTCCGATTAGCTTGACTCACGAAGCGATGTTGCATCTCTTTGCGCATTTTATCGTATTTACCACGGGGCGTGCTCTTAGAAATTGTTCAGACGAATTCCAGCCGCACAATTTCATAATCGCACATTCCATACCATCTGGACGACTGATGGTCCACCACTGTGCAATTTAAAAGAAGTTTCCTTCGTCGCACAACTTCCTTTTGGAATCGACTACCAGCAGAGATTTTTCCGGACCGATACGACTTAGGGACCTTCAAGAAAAGAGCCTTCTCCTTTTTAAAATGCCGGCAACGCGTCTGAAATTCCCCTGGTGTTGCAGTTGTTCATGGACGGCGGTAGTCACTTACCATCAGGTGAGCCGCATGCTCGTTTGCCCCTCTCCTATATAAAAAGACTCCCTAAACTGTGGTACCATTCAAAAATAATTATGCCAATCTGTTAAAAAATCTAAAATGCACGCACAACCAACAAACGCGATGCCAATCCGTTAGGTAAACTGCTAAAAAGCTTTTATGGACTGAACTTTGCGACATAGTTTTTGTGGGAAAACATCAAATTCAAGTCAGTTCACAATAATTTCGGTATTTGAAATGAATATTTCTGATTGGTTTCCTACTAAGTACAATCGTTTATGTTATAATCTATCAAAACTAGTATTTGTTTGTTCATATTTAATGTGCTGCCATACCGATCATTAGATTGCGCTAAAACTTTGTCAACATATTGCTTGCACTCCGCCAAGGTTATGCTGTTGTAGAATTCAGATCACAGAATCACCCGTGCGAAGCCAGGGCAAATTGCTAGTAATTTATTCATTTCATATTCATTCATTTTCATAACAAATAGATTACATACATAAATACGATTGTTAAAGACATATAGTATGTGGCGATCTCAGAACTTACGTTCATACCGCCCTGCACAGGGGATTATTTGTAAAACCTATGGTATAATATTAATTCTAATAATTATTGTTGCAGCACCCATTTTTAAAGATGGCAAGACCTTTAGCATCTCTAACTCCTTTGATTATGGCTGCAAAAGAAGCGGCAAAAGGACATTAGCGCAGGCCACTGGCGCCTGCCGCAGCGCCCGCGCGATCCTAGCGCCCCCAGTGCCTACAATATGTACAATACGTACATATGAACATGCCACCATTTCCAATTGGTTTTGTTTGGCTGCAATACTATGAAACAAAATTCAGAAAAAAATATCAGTGCATATAATGGTGATGTATTAAGTATGTTTTCTGTGAAGCTACGATGCTAGACTAGAATTTGGCAGGCTTGTTTTGTAAAATGGCTGCGTTAGTATAATATAGAAGTGAACATATTTTTACAAGAAAAATGAGATGGTAACAATAATGTGCAGTCCAGTAGTTGTAAAGAATTCTGTAGTATTGTGTAGAAAAAAGTATTTATTCAAATAGCAACAATATCTCTGATCAATGGCTGCGTTTGGCAGATAAAAGCAAGCGCTTGTAAGCAAAATGGCGATCGTAAGCGCTAAGCGCTGTCAAATCGTAAGTAGCTATTTTCCTCTAGGATGCAAGTTAGCTTTAAGGGAAACCTAACCTAATTTAAATATATGTTTGTAAAGTATTCATATTAAAAACTTACCAATCATGAATTTTTAATTACATGTATAATATGTTTATTCATGTCATTATATTACTTGAAACTAATATTGCAAAAAAAAAACATATAAACTTTACTTCAAAACAAACAAATTAAATAAGCAAAATGGCGGATTGTGTCAGCGTTACTGAAGTTAGCAAACGTGTCCTGGCCGAAAACTGTTTAGTTTCGCCATTTTGCTTACAAGAGCTTGCTAGCGCTTTTTTCTGCCAAACCCAGCCAATGTGTATCAATCCACTGTAATATCAAGTTGAGGGGATTATAATAAGGTGTAGATATGGTAGTGTTAGGAACAGGTTTTGAAATGTATTGAAATAATCTGCAAAAGAAGACTGGCAGTTAAATTTTAGAACATGTAAAGTATAAATTGTAGATATACTCTAGTTCTGTAATAGTGTTTAACCAGATCAGCTTATTAACTGTGATGGTAGCCAGTAGGTGGTCGTGGCAGTGGATTGATACACTATCAGAACTTCTTAAGAGTGCGCCGCGACATCATGTATAATTATGTCGAATAATTAAAATTACAGAGATGCACCAATTCTTGGTGATCTTAGAAATAGCCTGAAATGTGGTTGTAAACTAAAGGAAATATTTCGCAAATTTATAACCTCGAAACTTACGACGCTATGAAGTGTTTCCTATTTTAAAATATTTATTTTAGAAATGTGTTATACAGTCCCGCTTTAAAGGGGGTATGTGCGGTATCATCGAGTATTTCAATAAAAATGATGAGCGGAATGTATGGTTTTTAATATTATGAATTATATGTTCATTTTGACTGAGATTCAATCCTATAAGTTATTAATATTTGGCTTACATTGCTTTTATTAGTTTCTTCTAGCTAGCTAGTTTTATATGTAATTGTATATTACATTATTTCTATTATTCTTATATGTTCTATAATATATTATAAATAACATTTATATATCGAAATAACGGTTTTATCGTGATTGCAACTTTGGTAATAGAATATACAGCAACAAAGTTTTATAATTCTGTTGTTTATAACGACACGCATGTTATTATGATTGACTTATATACCACAAAAATATTTCGGTGGTTACATCATGATAGTAAGAAAGAAGCATTTACTTAGTATTAAGTTTATATAGTTTATTCTATTGATTATAATTGAAATCAGAAAAATCGATATCTTTTGTGGCACAAAAGTATTAATTATCCTTTAAACTAGGGATGGGTAAGTGAATATATATATATATATATATATATATATATCGTATCGATAAATATTGATATATCGTCATGTTTTGCATGATGTAGTAGGATACGGCCCAAAATGGTGTTACTGGACGGTTAGACGACGGAAAAATAAACGACAACTGCACATGAATGATTTTATAGCTATTTTTATTGCTTAATGTTTTGTTGATTAATACATTTTAAAAATATCGTCGATATATATTGATTTTTCGATATATCGATATTTTTACCCAAACCTACTTTAAAATAACAGTTTTAAAATCTATACAGATATTAAATTTAGATAGACTATGAACAAACATTTATCTCTAATATAAATAAGACAATAGTAGTCAGTAGCTAGCATTCAATACAAACAACTTATCCTAAATAATGTGTAATTAATATTGCCTTTGTAAAGAGTATTATATAAATTGTCTCTCTGCTTTTTTGTGTTGTGCTGAAAGATATGATTTAAATTCGTTTGAAATTGTTTATGTTTGCTATTTTGTTAGGCTATTGTGATAGGATGATGTCGTGAGTGATTTAAAAGTGGGTTGGTGTTATCAAAAGTAAGGCAATGGTTTGTCATTTTATGTAAAGTGTACACAGAAGCAAATTAAGAAGCGATAGGCTGTACTTTTTGACAATATGAAGTGACCAATTTACGCTATGTAGACTCCTTGTATTTGTTGTTAGCCAGGTTGGTGCATTATGACGGTGAAGCATTTTAGTGATTGTTTAATTTAATTTTGCTTCTTACAATCACTGGGCGTAATAATTATATTGATTCAAATCCGACGTATGATATATTGTTTAAACAACGCTCACAGTTCTGGCCTAATAGTCTATGTTTGACATTCAAATATGGCCTACACATTCACATGCACATTGAACTTAATCAGCACCAACCATAAAATATTGTGCAATATCATAGATGTAAAATATATAGCCAAATTTCGAGGAGAGCTTGAACATTCATGCTAAATAACTAAATTATATGACGCGTATTAAACATTGTGATCATGCAAATGAATTTGTGTATGCATTTGGTAAGCTGAGAAGTAACTGTAATTATGTACGTAATATAAGTTGAAATGTATTAATTAATGTGTTAAGGTACAAGACGTTAAATGGTTTTCATAATTTTTGACAGTTGTATAACACCAGTGCCATGTATGAGCAACTTGTGTATATAAATTACAACCATAATATAATAAAAAGACTCACAATGATACATATTTTTTATTAATTGATTCCTAAACGTAAAAGCTGTGACAAAAAGTGCAATAACCCTTTCTAACACAAAGTACTGCAAAAAATACAACAACCTACAAAAGTTACTTCATATTAATTTTTGAAGAATAGAAAATTGGCGAAACTAAAATTTGGACATATTTGAAAAGATAATATGAGCAAAATTATAAAATCAAGCTGAACAAATTATCAAGTGTTAAACAATAATACGGTAAAAATAAAATAATACTCTACAATAATAATAAATACAAATTTATACCACAAACAAAAACTACAAACTACAGGAAAATGCGTCGTAAATTATAAGTTAGGCAATAACACAGAATACATAATAGTACAGGGAACTAATCGCTGAAAGCAACCAGACTTCCAGACAACCTTAAAGAAACCTACATAAAATAAATATGCACGGAAGGAATCTCCAATTGATTGGTCTACAATTATACATAAAAGACTTATCTCGCTTTTTCTAAATCTGTTTTTAAATAAGGCAAAAAGAGACAAATCTATATAAAGATGTATAGCGTGTAATTCACGCGTTTCATTTGAATGTCACGTGCACGCTACCCCAAACATGGGATTAATCATACCTACTCATATCTTTGACTTACTAGAAAAATATCCTTATATAGTAATTTAGTGTAGTTATAATATTATTAAGTAATAGTATGACTTTATTTTACAAGACATGACTTTGTGTGCCCTAAATATTAATTCCAAATGTTTTGAAAAAAGAATATTTGTAATGTATACGACTTGCGCTTCTTTGACTAGTGAATATGGATCGGTAATGTAATCAACACGCTTTGAAAACAGCTCACATGAATCCCGTATGCTGATTTACCACTTGCTCAGCGAAAAACGGACTATTGAGAAAGCTGTAAGATACAACTATCTTTTTTTTATAGAATAAGGGTTACAAACGAGCATACAATCCACCTAATTGTAAGTGGATGCTGTGGCCCATAGACATCCACATTTATCCTCGACTAAGAATCAAAACGCTGATTACGTTGTCAGCCCTGAGGACTAAGATGAAATGCCTTGTTTCCAGTGAAAAAGTGTCTCTGGATCTCTATACTCACATACGAAACAGCAGTATATAGCTGCGATTTTACGCTGGTATTCTGTGAGAGCTGAGAGTGTGGTCCTTCCCCGGTCGAGCCGACCCATTCGTGCTACAACCATAATATAGCTGCAGCGTGGCTCTATCACGTATATTTTTATTCTGTACCATAAAAAATACCATATTCACGCAGAGTTCAACAAACAAGAACTTTGTCCTTATTTTAGGATTCCCTCTAAATCCATAAAAATTGTATTACTCTGCTCTGACATCAACATCATAAGCATCAAAGTCAAAATATTGGGGTATTTAAAATTTGGCTCTTGATATACAGGTTCATCAAAGAGGGCGACACTGAAAGTTTTTGGAACTGGCCACTTGTAAACGATATAGTAAAAAAATAAGTTCAAAATGTGAAAATGAAACTGCCCAAAATGATTTAGCGGCAAATTCAAAGTTGTCTGTGTCACGTCAGCATGAATTTAACGCGAGAAAAGGAAGATGCCCATTTTTCACCTATGTATAAAAATGAAATAAATCTTAAAATTCAGCTAATTGAATTGTAAACTAGTTACGCTCATCACAATGTTTAAAGAAACGCAAGAAAAAATATTTTTCAATATTTCTTTAAGCTTCGTATTGTCGTCTACATGACATGGGTATGCCATGCAGGTCTCTCGGGTCGGGTCGGGTCGGGTCTCGGGGTAAGCCCCCATTGCCCGGATCTTCCTCATGGCCCACGACTATGGGCCAGTCCTGGGAGCTTTTCCAAGGCATGGTGATCAAGTAGGATAAACCCGCAGTCATAGAAATTTTTTCCGTAGTCGGTTAACTACGGGAAAAAAGGAGGTTATCCGGTAAAAAAGTCAGTGTTGGCCTATCAGCGGCATTGTGGGTTGTT